TAATATTTGTCAAGTTACAACTTATAGATAATATTATATGGTACAGTTATAAAATGTAATATAAGTTCACAATATGTGAATCTTATGTACTTTCTTGTTCTTTCATTTTTTGTCATTCTTTTTGATTGCAATTTTTTTTTTATTTATTTTTTCCTTTTTTTTTTTTTTTTTTTTTTTTTTTGACGCGAAAAGAAAATTAAATTGTGTAAGAGCGTTGATAAATTGAAAATTCGATACTCGATAATTTGTGGAGATTCGAGAAAAAAGGGAAAGAGATATATATATATATATAGAGAGAGAGAGAGAGAGGAGAGATAAAGCGTAAAGATAGCTTATTTAGCTGATTGTTTGGCATATAAAAAAGTAGGTCCGTTTCGAAAGGCTGATACATTGGTTTGTAACATATATATTCGTCCCGATTTTTCTATTCTTTTTTTTTTTCTTTCTTTCTTTCTTTCTTTCTTGATGGAACGTATAGTCGTTCGTTGCATCATTTCGCGATCGATGAAAAATTTAACGCGGCCTTATAATTTACGACAACTTTTTTTTTTTGTTTTAACAAGTTTGCCCTTTTGACTTAAAAAAGAAAAAAAAAAGAAAAATCCTTCCCCCACCCCCTGGGTATCTGTGACTGTCGTAAAGAAAGTTTTACTTGTACGATACCACTGACAAAATATTTTAAATATTTAAAGCGTGAAAAATTTTCTTTCAACGGGACGAATATATATAAATTGTACGTCGTTACAACCGTATAAAGAATAAACTTGAGAGCTTGTATTTTTATAAAGTTTGTTTAAACGACAAATAGAAGAGATAGAGAGAAAGAGATAGATAGATAGATAGATAGATAGATAGATAGATAAATAGATAGAGAATAGAATCGGTTCTTCTTCACAGCCACAGAGTTTAAGAAAAATGGATATGAGCTCGTGAGAACGATTTCTTTTTTTTTTTTTTCTTTCTTTCTTTCTTTTTTATTCGTTCGTTCGTTCGTTCGTTCGTTTATTTGTTTGTTTGTTTGTTGTAATATTAAATCTGAAAAAGTGGACCCTTAGCGCGCGACTTTCTGGGAACTTAGACCGTTAGCGTGCATTAGAAAGCCAGCCTTTCTTTCGTCTTATTCTTTTTTCCATTTGTTTATTTTATTTTATTTTATTTTATTTTATTTTATTTATTTGTTCGTTAGTTTTGACTTTTTAATTAGGATCATAAGGTATGCGCGACGTAACGTTTCGACGATTACGGAGGTCTTCCAGGGACGTTCGGAAAAACCAACAATTTGGTCGAAAATATTATTTCTAGTTAATCGTTTTATAGAGGGTATTACAAACGTATAGTTGCGAATGATCATCATTATTCATATTCATATTCATATTCATATTCATATTAAGAATATTAATAATCGTAACGAGATAAAAATGGACATTGTCTTATTGTGGGATGGAATAGGCTGTGTAAGCTCTCCGTCAAAATTTGCTTAGATGCTCCGCGCTTGTTCCTTCTTTATATTTTTTTTTTCTTCTTCTTTTTTCCCCCCCTCTTATTTTATCTTATTTTTTATTGTGTTTTTTTTTTCTCTTTTCTTTTCATACCTTCTTTTTTCTTTTTTTTTCTTTCTTTTTTTTTTTGTAAAACTCTCACGTAGTAAATAATAATAATAATAATAGCAATAATAATAGTAATAATAATAATAATAATAATAATAATAATAATAATAATAATAATAATAATAATAATAATAATAATAAATGAAGCGGAACGAAAGGGTGGAGGGGAGGGGAGGGGAGGGAGCAAAGAGAAAGATACAACGAAAAATATTTGAAGAAACGAGGAGAATGAATAATCGATTAGTTCAAAAAGATAAAAAAAAGAAAAAAAAGAAAAAAAAATTAGAAAAAAGTATATATATATATAAATAAAATAAACACATCGAGCTTCGTTCTGTATCTCGATGAAGCGACCAAGAGAAAGAAAAAAAAGAAAAAAAATAGTTCGTTAAATTAAAATTATTTAATTTATTATTTCAATGAAGCATTGAAATAATAAATTGTATTATTTCAATGAAGTTATTCAATTAAGTTGCCCCAGGTAGAGAGAGGGCGGGGACATTTAAATAGCATCGTCGCCATGTGTGACATGTGAGTCTTTTTTTTTTTAATTTGTTTGTTTGTTTGTTAGTTTTGTTTAAATCTTCTTTAACAAATCTCGATTACCAAAAATGGACAGGTTCCGCGCGATCGAAACGTTTACCTCTCGCTCGGATATAGAAAATGTTCGTTTAATTTTATTTTATATATTTATATATATATATATATATATATATATATATAAATAAATATTTGTTATTTATTTATTTATTTATTTATTTATTTATTTATGATTCAAATTTAATTCCCATAGGAGATAAGAAGATCGTGAATTATATCGTCCGACGCGATAAGAAAACGTTTCGCTTTTGCGTGCGTTTATTATTTATACTCTCAATAAATATTACATATAGTAATGTGATCATTATTTGATAATAATAATAATAATAATAATAATAATAATAATAATAATAATAATAATAATAATAATAATATTAATAATAATAATAATAATAATAATAATAATAGTAATAGTAATAGTAGTAGTAGTATTGTTCTAATTGGACAGGAATTGTTTTTCTTTTTTTTTTTCTTCTTTTTTGTTTCTTCTTCTTCTTTCTCCTCTTCCTCCTCCTCTTCCACCACCGCCTCTTCCTCTTTCACTCAATTTTTGGGCGAATTCTTCTTTCCTCCCCCCCTCCTTTTTTTTTTCTTCATTAATTATTATTATTACATGATTAATCTTAATCGTTAATTGCCATTTTTTTTCTTTTTGTCTTGTTTTGTTTTGTTTTGTTTTGTTTCGTTTTGTTTTTCTCGTTTGTATTATTCTCATTTCACACGTAGTGTGTCTCCGTGTGCTGTGTGTGTGTAGTATACCTTGTGTGTGTGTGTGTGTGTGTATATCCCGTGGCATCAAAAAAATACGATAACTTTTTTTATAATAATCGTTTGATTCTTTTCTTTTCTTTTTTTTTCTTTCTTTTTTTTTTTTTATTACTCTTCTTTCACACTTCCTTTCACGCGCGACATTAATTCTAAAGTTTTCTTTCTTTCTTTCTTTTTTTTTTTCTTTTCTTTTTTTTATTTTCTTTTTTTTCTTCTTTTGCCTTAGAGAGAAATACACGTTGTAGTATATTTAGCTTATACACAACTAGGTTTAGCTTCCTTTTTTCTTTTTTTTTTTTGTTTTTTTTTTTTTGTTTTTTTCTTTTTTGTATCTATCTGCGAAAGAAATATAAATAGATCACACATACTTTATGCAATTAACACAAGTTTTTTTTTCTTTTGTTTGTTTGTTTGTTTGTTTGTTTGTTTAAAACAAAATTAAATATACCTATGGTATACGATGGTATGTTGTAATCCTTTTCGCAAATTACATGCATTGAGAACCAAAAAAGAAAAAAAATTTGTAAATTAATTAGCTCTCGATAATAACGCAATGTGTCTTTGTGTGTGTGTGTATTTTTTTTTTTTTTTTTTATCGCGACTATAGTCGCGATTGAAAATATTTTACGCGACATTACAAATCAAATGAAAGAAGCTCATTTTTAATATTATAAGCCTACTTTATGCCTAAAAACTTATCCATCTAATATTGCGACCCTATTTTTTTCTTTTTTTTTCTTTTTCTTTTTTTTCCTTTTTCATTTTCCTGCGTGCAGCGCCCCTCAAAACACATTTTGCCCTTTCTTCCTCGTTTTGCTTGGTTTTGCAAAAAAAAAAAAAAAAAAAGAAAAAAAAAAGAAAAAAACAAGAAAAAAAAAGAAAAAAGAAAAAGAAAAAAAAGAAAAGAAAAAGACGATTTCTCGATAGGGCAGTGTGTTGTAGATTTCGAAGAACCTTAAACACGCGTGTTATCTCCGAAAATCTAATAATATATAAATTAAAATGTGTTTATGTTATGTGTCCATGTATCACGTGATAACACAAAAAGAAAGAAGGGGGAGGCAGGTGGGCGGGGAATGGAGAAACGTATTTTACAATTAAAAAAAAGGAACTTAAGAGATTGCGCTAAAAAAAAAAATAAGAGAGAGAAAAAAAAGAGAAGAAAAAAGGAAAAAAGTACAATACAGTAATACATATATATATGTGTGTGTGTATGTGTGTGTATATATATATATATATGTATATATATATATAAATGAAACAATTGTATACATATAAAATCTTTAAATAATCTACACAACTTATTAATCAATTAATATGCAATCAGTATTTTCGGGCGATCGTTAACGCGTTTAAACCACTGAGCGCACTTTTCCATGTAAATAAATTACTAATAAGTAATTTTGGAAAGTGTAATTACCAGTGGTTTATAAATAAGTATGCCCAATGGATATTCGGTGATTTATCATCGTAATAGGTGCATTGTCATCGCTCGGCGAATGCAACAAGTGCTTTCGTTTTTACGTCTATGGAACGTATGTGTGTGTGTGTGTGTGTGTATGTTTTGTATGTGTGTATTCTTTTTTCTTTTCTATTTTTTTCTATTTTTTCTATTTACTCATTTATTTATTTATTCATTTTCGAGTCGTAATAATTATACCCTTGACAGCACGGTAAGAATTAACGAGAAGAAAGAATATATATATATATATATATATATATATATATATATATATATATAGACTTTTTTGAATTAATAAAAAAAAAATAGAGAAAACAAAAAATGTACAATTAAATACCAAAGCAAATAATGCTCCCACTTACATGTGTATATGTGTATGTATTTGTGTATGTACGTATGTATATATATATATATATGTATGTATATATATATATATATATATATATATATATATATATATATATAAGAAATAAAATGGCTTATCATCCCGGTCATAGTACATAAAATTGTGGAATGCTTATACAACTTATTAAAAATGTCTTCGCTGACTTTTTCTTTCTCCATTTTTTTTTGTTTTGTTTTGTTTTGTTTTTTTCGGTACATTATGAGACGTATATGTACCAATCAATCCACTCTATATTCTACAGAAATGCGAATTAGATTTACTCTATGCTTATCCAGCACGTTTCTGCCTGAATCAAAAAACATCCCATGCTTTTGTGTGATACACATTAATAATTATACGACCTAATATTTCAATTAATATTTATATTATTATCGTGCGCACGCGCGCGCTCGATAAATCAATTAATAATTAGCTGCCCTAATGTCTAAGGGACTGAAACACTGCTGCTGATGCTGCTACACATATCATAGGCATGTAGCAATTATTATTATTATTATTTTTTTTTTCTTTTTTTCTTTTTTTCTTTTTAGGATTATTATTTATGTGGCTTATGTTTATATAAGACGAAGTTACGATGAAGCGGTGTTGTTAATTCGTTTTTACTTGCTTCGGGGAGAGAAACGGGTGCCCGTCGTTGAAAGACCTTCTCCTCGGCTCCGACTTCGATGCAAGTAATGTAAGCCTTCGCCTTTAAAATAGTGATCATTTTTATTAATTATTATTATTATTTTGGTTTTTTTTCTTTTTCTTTTTTTTTTTTTTTTTTTTTTTTTTTCATGTTTAATTGTACTCGTGCGTTCATTTCTTTGTTTTCTTTTTTTCTCGAATTTTACTAAACTTTAATAATAAATATAATAAATCACACCAAAGGAGTTCTATTTAGAGATTGTAATGGAGAGATAGAGAGAGAGAGAAAAAAGAAGAAAAGAATATTATATAATATTTATGATATATATTTATGTTGTACCTCTGCTTACGCTTCTACGTATGGGTGCGGATGGAGGTGGTGCAGGTTCTTGTTTACTATAACTTCTAAGTGCCCTTCCTCGTCTATCCTGAATTAACTTATCCACTTTAACAAAAATTCCACACTTGGGCCGACAATTGAAGTACCTATGGCCATTTACAGCACCGTCGTTTTTACCTGTTATTAATAATATAATAAGTGCATATTAAAAAATTTATTATTTGAGAATTATTTCAAACGAAGATTTAAATAACTATTAGATAATAATATGATTTATTAAATAATGATATTAAATTTGTTATATACCAGTTGGTGCATCAAGTTCAATCCCTATCCATATACCAGATGCAAACTCTGTTGGGCCAACGTATGCTATAACACCCGAATAACTGTATGGACGAACTAGTACAGATTCACCGACGACAACCCAATCTGGTAAAGGGGTTTCGATTCTTGTAAGATCGTGTCTCGAGCCAAAGGCTGAGCTCTTATCGCTCGTGTCATCTGATAAGCGGAAAAAAAAAAGAAAGAGAAAAAGAAAATATTAAACAAGAACAATATCGTATTAATATAAATGTAGAATTCGTGATTAAAAAAAAAAAAAAAAAAAAAAGGGTTGGGCTTGGCAAAGAAAATTCAAAAATTGATGTGAATCATTGTAACAATTAAATTGGTCCAGGTTTCACGTTGATAGACCCAATCACTTTTTCTTTTTTTTTTTTTTTTTTTTTTCTCTCTCACGAATATCCATACTTATTAAATATGACAGACGGATAACTTTCAAGCCCAATGTAATATAATTGTTATATAAAACGAAAGTTTTATTTGAAAGTACCATCGATTCTTTCAGATGAACTATTGTCACCATTTTCATATGGCATATTAGGCTGCATCGTTTGTTCCAATCGTGCTGCAGCTTTACTTTCAGATACTTGTGGACGGACCATTGGGAACGAAGCTCTGTGTTGAGAACTAGTAGGCCTTCCTGTACCACTAGAAGCTTTCCTTCTTCGTACAACCTACAAAATAAGTATATTCATGTCTATATATATATATATATGTGTGTGTGTGTGTGCGTGTGTCTATATGTATTTGTCTAAACATAAATCCAAGTTCCAAGGTATCAAAGGATTAAAAAGCAAGAATTTTTACCTTGCCTGGTGGAAGTTTCGTATGGACAACAGAGGATCCCTCCAAAGGACTCTCGTCTCCCGAATTCGATGTCTGACTAATTACCATTTCACTTTTTCTTCGACCAATTAAAATAGGATTTTGTATGTCTTTCTTCGGAAGGACATTCAATGCCGTTGGATTGCCAGTTGCATCGCTGTCGTCTTTCGTAGAAGAAACAGGACTTTCCGTGTCAGGATCCGTATAAGCACCCATCTCCTCAAGATTCTTTCTAACGTTTGCTGTGCGATCAATCAAAAAAAAAAAAAAAAAAAAAAAAAAAAAAATTTGTTTAAAAATTAAAATAAGACATTCGTATATAATACAGAATAATATAATATCGATATTAAATTAATAATAATATTAATTATAGAAAGAGAACGATGATGACGATCGCTATGACAATGATGATGATCATGATGACAAGAAATATATATAATATAATAATGAGAAATTTATATATGATACACATTTGTTTCTTTCTTTTTTTTTTCTTTTCTTTTTTTTTTTTTTTTTTTTTTTTTTTTTCTTTCATTTATGTTTAAATTTCTAATTGATCAACTAACCCTCGCGAGGATCTTCCGTGACATTTAAATTTTCCATCGCTTTGTTCACATCGCACGTGTATTCCTCCGGTGTTTCCTCGACGAGAGAACTGTCCATCTTCTCTGGTTTTTTATTGTCCAATAAATTTCTATATTCTAAATCGGGCGTTTCGTCGACGCTGATCGATTTTATAGAAATCGAATCTTCGGACGTTAAATTAGTCGTCGAAACAGCTTGAGATCCATAACCGCTGCTACTCATGCTTGGGGTGTTGATCTTCGTAGATTGTAACTCAGCAAGTGAATCCAATGTGCGTGACGAAGTTAGCGGCTTTGTTGGCTTTGCTGGTGCCTGAGTGTCAAGTATTCATTCATTTATTTATTTATTTCGTTATCGTTAATCCTCCATAACACAATTTTTTCGATATTCAAAAAACTATTTCTACGTCAAATTGTACACATGATCAATTGTACAATTTATAAATATCAAGTACAATTAATAGATATCAAACCTATGTAGCATAGCTTGTGTATAAAAAACAAAAACAAAAAAAAAAAAAAAAATTAATTGTGTAACGTGAAAATCAAATGTTATAACATATCTTGTCGTATCTTCGTAGCTTCGTATATGACAATATTTTATTTATGATCGATAAAATGAAATAAGATTTTAATCAATACGTACACGATTATAATATACGATCGCGTGATTTTTAAAAAATTGCATGATACGTTATAGAGATGAGTTGCATGATATATTGATATATAATAGATACTTTTTTTTTTCTTCATTTTTTTTTCTCTTTTTTCTTTTCTTTCTTTTTTTTTCTTTTTTTTTTTTTTTCATGGAAAACTTCAGTTCAGATCTCAAATTCGTCTATCTCAAAAAATGATTACGATACGAATTAGTATGATACAACCCCATTACGCATACGACGAATGCGTATTTATTTATAAATAATTGATAGGGCAATGATTAAATACGAATATAGAAAATGTATAACTCTACCTGATAAGCATCGTATTCAGAATAATCGGCATCACTTTTTTCTTCTTCGTCGTCATGACTAGGGGTTGCTAATTGATTTCCAACATTAGATGTTTCCTCGTGTAACGTAGTCATACGTAGACCCAATTTACTACCGACCATATTTGGGGATGCTAAAATGAATAGTTTAACTATGTTATTATTATTATGGCGATAGCTACATTTTAAGCTGTTTTTTGAAAAATTCAAGCGAATGTATATGATATATAAATATATATATATATATATCAGTACCGATCTGATTACGAATAGTAAATGATAATGATTATACTTTATAAATCTGTGATTATAATATATCATCAAATGTTTCCTTTTTTTTTTTGGATTAGATTTCAGGCTTTTACAAGTTTTTTTTTTTTTTTTTTTTTTTTTTTTTTAATAATTATTATTATTTATTTTCTTTTTTTCTTTTATTACTAAAAGTCACAGATCGGTTCTGATAATTATATAATAATAATAATAATTAATAATAATAATAATAATAATAATAATAATAATAAAAATAATAATGATAATGATAATAATATTAATGATGATAATAATAATAATAATAATAATAATAATAATAATAATAATAATAATAATAATAATGATAATAATAATAATAATGAGAAAAGTACATAAATAACAAACGTAAGTTCGTTCATGCTGTACCTAAAGAAAAAAATAAAAAAAGAGGACAACAACAAAAAATAAACAAAGATAAATAAGGGCAAGGGAATTTATATATTCCACGTTTGTTTTTGTTGTATTTTTTTATATATAAATAAATAAACAATACTATTATATGATATAATATACGATAGTATTGTATCTGTTAATATATGGTTCATTGGTTTGGCCAATAAATAATATTAAAATTTTCAATGAAAATATATCGAATGCAATTCGTATCGTTTTAATTCGAATATAAAATAATGAATATTTCGAAAATTTTCATTGGTCAATCCAATAATGAAGAATAAAAAATAATGATTAATTTAAGTGACAAAGATTTATTCTGATATCAATTATTGTTTATATAATATCACGTGGAATATATATATATATATATATATATATATATATATATATATATTTATATGATCCGTCTGAAAATGAAAAATTAAAAATAAATACGAATATAATATACAGTATCATATAAGCACTGAACACATCAAACATATTCGATGCTATACACGTCATTTGCAGTAGAATAAGATTGCAAAATTTTCTATTACGATGATTAACAAATTCAAAATATTGATATCATTAATCATTCGTCATAATATAACACAGCCCAACAAAAAAAAAAAAAAAAAAGAAAGAAAAGAAAAGAAAAAAGAAAAAAAAAGGATAAGATTTCTTGGGTATATTTGATAAGCTAATTCCAAAAATAACATTGGTTTCATTTTATCAGCTGCTCTTCAATTGAAAATTTATAATTTAATAGTCAAATTCACACACACACACACACACACACACACACATATTTTTTTTCTTTTAATTACGATTTGTCTCGATGAAAATAAAACTGTTTAATTGGCACATACAATTGTTTAATATTCTTCAAAATTATAAGTCGATATAACAAAACTTTTGTCATTTTTACAATTTGCATCTCAAAAAATATATCCAAGATATGAGTCCATAATCCCATTAGACATCAAAATGTGTTCGTTGAGCAGTGTAATAAATTGCAAACTTAATGGACTGCAATGTCTTTTTCATTTTTCATTTTTTCTCATCTTTTTTTTTTTTTTTTTTTTTGATACGTAAAACGTCTAAAACAAAGGAGTAAGGAAACCAAATTGATGTACGAATTACTACAAGAACGAACAAGAATCTGTGCTCTTTCAAATTTGGAATAGGATATGCGTGTGTTTTCTTATTCATTTTATTCTTTATTTATTTTCTTTTGCACGTGATCACTGTTCAAAATTTTGTTGAAAAGAAAGAAAGAAAAAAAAAAAATAAATAAAGAAAGAAAGAAATTAAAAAAAATTATTAAATAAACGAAAAAAAAAAAAAAAGAAAAGAAAATTTGAAAGAGCAATCAACAACGAGTGTCACCTACACTTGGCAGAGGTGGATTGTTGCAGACGTGTCAGTGAGTTGAGATTCAGGTTCAGATTCAGGAAAGTTGGTCTCGCTGAAAGGAGATAGTTTTTACTGATTACATCTCGTTTATTTTTTTTATCCGACACGAAGGTTCTACTAAAACTTCTTTTTTTTTTTTCTGTCTCTTAAAATGGCGAGTCCTTCGCAAATTGGAATTATATTGACCGTATTGCGAGCTTTTAAATGTGAATATATATTTATATATATATATATATTTATATATAATATATATATATGTATATCATGCCTTTGGTAATATCGTACACTGAAGAATGAAATACATATGTTTGAACAAATATAATACAGTATGAATATCGTTGTTCAAATTCAATAGGATATTATATACATATATACATACATACATATATATATATATATATGTATGTATATGTATATATACATATATATACACGTGATAAAAAATATTTGTAATATTTTTGCAATTGACGGGTCCATTTTGTAAAATCTTGGCTTTTAATTATTATCGAGTAACTCGCCATTGCATTGTAAATTCAAAATGCTGTATTTTTTTTTTATATATATCGACAATAAAAAGAACAAAAATTATATATAGAATAAGAACCTTCGTTCGATATATATATATATATATATATATAAAGAGAGACATGAGCATTTTGAATTTATTAGAAATATATTAATCAATGTTAGTTTAAAGTCGAAGGTACTAGTAGTCTCTTACAACTTATATCTCTTACAACTTATAGTTAAATAATAAAATATTAATTTTTCTTTGATTTTGCTTCTTTTTTTTTTTTTTTTTTTAATAACAATACTATAAACTATTCTTGAAAACGACACATGCTGCGAAACTATTTTTTTAAATAGTAAATCTCATGCATAGCTAAGCATCGAACATATATTGTTCTTCCACTATGCTTTTTATTGGTAATTTACATTTTTTTTTTTTTTTTTTTATATATACACATTTATTCAAATTCAATACTCTTTACTATACCTGACTTTAAACTAGTTTCTCGTTTCTGCGAAAAGAAAGATTTGAGGTCATTATTATCTTTCTTCTTAGTTAATAAAAATTAGAAAGAATTAATTATCAATTTTTTTTTTTTTTGTACAGATTCTTTTTTTCTTTTTTCTTTTTTTGTTTGTTACATTTATTAAGTAAATCGAGATTTTCTTTTCGCGCATGAGAAAATTACGAATTCATTTTTTTTTTTTTTTTTTTTTTCTTTTATTTTATTTTACATATTCAGATAGACAGGAAACAATTTTTTTTTCTTCTTCTTTTTTTTTTCTAATGCTTTCTGTAAATTATCATTTAAATTTAAATGTAAAACTCTACACGAAGTAAACTAATTAATTGATTTATTATATATATATATATATCAGTTGATCGATCGACAAAAAAAAATTTCTACAAAGGAAATGTCTAACGAAAAATGATTGAATTAAAATAAAATTGTTTCCTGTGATCGAAATATTATTTTTTTTTTTTTTTTTTTTTTTTTTACCTACGATATTTAATTATTGTTAATATTTATATACACATATATGTTACAGTAATCCTACGTTGGATTCTAATGTATTGCTGGATAACACATTCACATATATAGGTAGAATAATGATTAAATCATTGTGCAATGCAATTATTTTTTTATCTTAATTTTTTTTCTTTTTGCTTTTGTTTCATTCTTTTTCTTTGTTTTTTTTCTTTTTTTTTTTATGTTAACAATATACAAATATATAAGATGTTGCACAATGATTCAATAATAACTCGTGTCACATACGTTTTTCCTGTTTTAATTTCTTTATATATACACTTTTCGATATAATTATAAAATGCATTTATAATTTTGGAAATATTAAAGAACGAATTTATAGAAATCATTTCGATATCAAGCTCAAAAAAAAAAAACAAAATGAAAATTCATGAATACCAATCAAATTAATTTTTATTTAATTCATCACCTTATGGTAATGCATTAATGAGCATATGCGCCAATGAAAAAATGATTTCTATGCGATTATGATTTGGCATTTTAAAAAATGCCAACGAACGCGTTGAAGTTATTATTACGCGGTTTTATGTGTGCGTAAAAAACATTAATCATGAATAGCATTCAGGTATGTATATATATATATGCTTTTTCTTTTTCTCTCTTTTTTCTTTTTTTCTATACATAAAACTGTGAAGAACACTTTCAATGAACGAACTTGCCGATTATGCTTTGCCGATTACGATATAAACATATTGGGGTATCATCATGCACGTCAAACAAGGTAAAACAACACATGACAAAGCATTCAAGTTTAAAAAAAAAAAAAAAAAAAAAGAAAAAAGAAAAAAAGAGAAAAGAAAAACACAAAGAAAAAAATAAATCAATAGATAAAAATCAGCAAACTGTTAATAATCACTACAGTAGCAGTAATAATTTTCTTTTTTCTCCACTTGAAATAGATTTAGCCTTCAAAAAGTGAACGAAAGTTTTTAATAATTTGCATAATAATAAGAAAAAAAAAAAAAAAAAAAAAAAAAAAAAATTAGAAGAAAAGAAAATTAATGTGCTACCTATATTAGCGTACATTCTTTTTTTTTTCGAATATTAAATAATATTCTAATAATGGAGAAAGAAAAAAGGAAAAGAAAAGAAATCATTGTGTTTGATTATATACTATAAGAGCAAAACTTAGAAACTAAACAACAGACAGACTCAACCACTCACGAGACATATTATTATGTACTAATCATTTTTGCCTATGCGGCGCATTGATTAAATATCAAATCAAGACTCCATTTTACCTGAGTTCAGAATGGAGCCTTGCGTGGGCCGAAATAGTTGTAGAAGAAGTAGTAGTGACGTAGTGTTAAACAGAAGAACAGATATAAGTAGCAGAGAAAATGTATTAGTTTCATTAGTTTCAAACAAACTCTTTGCTACATGATTTAATAATTTAATAATTTTTTTTTTCTTTTCTTAATTAATTAATTAAATTAATTAATTAACTCATTTGACATATTAGTTTTCAAATTTAATAGATATCTATGTATATATATATATATATTTATAAGTGGTAGAGCTTAAGTGTCGCTGCTAAAACATTAGGCAGATCTGATGATGAAGTGGATTGACCATGTTCAACTACTTCTTTCTTTTTTTTTTTCTTTTTCTTTTTTCTTTTTATTTTTAATCGTAAAAAAAATTAAGTCAAATCAAATTTAATCGTGTTCCAAATTTTAATCCAATATCAATAAATCAATAAATTCGTACAAAGGGATCGATTGAAAATTTCAAATGTTAAATATTTAAGTTGAACATGGAATATGGCGATGTAACAATATGATCAAAGCTTTTAGGTATAAGAATATAGAATTCCATTGTAGTAATAATTACTAATATTGGAAATCTATATTCTATAACTTTCTTTTTCTTTTTCCTTCTTTGTTTTCTTTTTTTTTTTTGTTCTTTTTTGTTTTTCTTTTTTTTTTTTTTTTAGAGAGGATAAGAAGATATTTTTCAATGTTGTGTGATTTAATTTAGGACGTAAGAGGCGCGATAATCTTTCATAATATTCATGCTTATAATATTAAAATTAAAACTGTCAATGACCTATCATTATTTAAGTAATGAATAAATTATTAATATAGTCGATTATGAAAAGTATGTGCTAATGGTGAATGACATGAATTTATAATTAAATAATAGATGAATGAAAAAAGGTAATGATTCTTTTTATTAATTACTTTAAGATATTAATATATCCAATTGTAAAAGAAAAGAAAAGAGAAGAAAATGAAAAAAAAAGAAA